TTGGATGACAGACACAGGAGTGCAGGTGAGTAAGTGGGATGGGTGTTCTATGACCTACAGTAAGGAAAGCTGTGATCATTCAATAGACATTCCAAAACAACCAGAAGAGCAGATTGTGAATGCAGGGAATACAGAATAATGATACATGCTGAAGACGGTGGAAACGGTTGCTTGTCCTGATTCAATCATTTCAGATCTCACACAGGTTTTAAAAACTACATTGTACCCAAGAATGATGTAGGCCTGAAGCAGGCCAGCTTGAGGGTTAGCAGGACTGCAGCCATCTTGAAATTAAGAAAGGCCTCCAATGAGAACAACCTGGCCACATGCTGAGCCTTGGGAGATCTGTTTGAGGATGGTCAGATGAGAACCCAGCAGTGGGTATTTAAAGAAAAACAGGAGTTGGGATAATTGCTCAGAAGAAAGTAATTGACTTTGGTTGATGTAGCAAGGAATGATTTGCACCCACTTGTGTCTTGTACCTGTCATACTGAGCACCTGCCGCACCTGCTGAGACTGTCTGACAGAGCTCCCTATCTCCCTGTGACTCCCTTCTGCTCCAGCCTCTGCATCTTGTTTCATTGGCTGTGAGAAGAAGAAGCCTGACTTAATTTGTTGGTAACAGAATTATTTTTTGCAAATTAGAAAGTACAATTATAATAATTATAAACAAAATAAAGAAAACTGTTATTTTAAACAATAACAGGGACAAACACATTATTCACTGCATACATGTTGGCTCTAGATTTACTTAAGCATAATCTCACAAAATCTCTCATTGCTTACTGACTGTAAGTCATGAGCGTCATTAGAACCATAAAATAATCGATTTACAATGAACTAATGATAGTCTAATTACCAAATTCAAGTTAAATAAAATGGGCCCAAATGTTTCCAAGATTTGGTTTAAGTCAGAATTTTATTTAGACCTTCCAATTCTATGTACACTATTTTGAACCATTTTCTCGGCTATTCCTCTTGGTGGGGGGTCTTTTTTTCTTTTTCATCCTTCAGATGGTATTGTATATCAAAATATAATAAAATTCTGTGACAGAGAAACAAGTCCAGAGTTTTTGGATATTTTAGCATTAAATTTCTTCACGACAAGTCACTCCTTGGGCACAGGTATGCACGAGATTAACTGGAGACATTACCTGTTTGGATGTCAGGCCTGTCTACAGATATAGCCTCTTAGTTATTCTGAGTACTCTGCCTGACGTGGGAAAGAGATTTCCTCATCTGCGAGAATACCCACTGCCAGTGGTAATTCGCAAAGACAGTCTGAAAAGTTACTTAACAGAATTGCTCTCTCGGTGGGAGGTAAAAATCATAGCATTTAATGCCATTCAGCCTTTATTACGCTTTAGGTCTATGGGGTTCGACTTCACAACAACTGGTATACTGCACTTCCTTATTTTTAAATCTAAAATTGATACACAGATTGGTTATTTGATAAAGAACATAGAATGAGTAAGTGGTTGAGCCCAGAATGACCTGTGTGGCCTGCCTTGATTCAGCAACATTGAGCTAATTAGTGTATGACCCTTCAGAACTGCATAGTTGTAAATATGCTGGAGCCAACATATTCAAATATCTAAGCAAATATACAAAACTGCTGCTACTATTCATTTACCTGAGCTATCTCATATATGGAGAAAACTAAAAGGAGACGTTTCTCCAAATTTTAAGTTAAAAAATTTATTCTCGGGACCAACAGTTAGCATAATGGCTATGTCGCTGGACTCCCATATAGTC